TATATTAATTAAAGTTCAACTAATGTCAGTGTGTCTTTGTTAACAATATATACGTAAGTATATAAGCGTGCCTGGCCTACACATGTATCATACACAAACATACCCGCTGCGCTATTACAAAGACAGGGTACGCTTTTAGCGATGTGAAACGGGACTTAATGAGAGGATGTTGGTGTTTTGTTGATATACTGAGCGATTAAAATATTTTAGAGAACATAAGCCAGTTTATATACCGTACGATTGAAAAAAAAACGGCGTCAAACACTATCCCAAGTGGCACAAAGGTGCTTAAAATGGTTATATAGAGTGTTATATAACAGTTCTTGATAAATATGTACTATTTTTTAAGTGCTTTATAAACTCTAATACGATAGTTATATACACGAAAAAGGCGCAGGTTTATAAAACAATATACTTATTTAGAAGTACGTTAAAAACTCTCCGATAACGCTTACAAAATAATATTGAGTACATTACAAAATATTTATAAAACTGTTTTATAAAAGATTTATAAATATTTTAAAAATTTGTCTCAGTTAAAATATTTTTGTAGCATGCATCTGCATTTTTGTTTTTTAGATATCAAGAATAAAATTATAATATCATGTATTTATAGTGACCAAGATAAAACTGATTTTAAAATGGCAATGTACACATATATTCTATTTAAATGACAGATATGGCTAATTTAAAGAAAGATGTAAGTTGTATAAAAAGTATTCGCCTAAAACGCTCCAGGAGTCAAATTTTCCTGCGGAGCAAATTTTACTGATATATATCCATATTTGTGGAAATATTTTAAGGCGCTTTCATTTTAATAAGATTTTGCAGTTATAATAAATATTTAATTTTTAGGAAATTACTGTAAAATTACTTATAAACTGGAAAATCGACATTGTCCAATATCCGATATTATTGGAAACTAATTCGTTTCTTATAAATACGTTTATTTTGAATTAAATTTCGGTTATTTGGTTGTGCAAATCCCGAATCGATAAAATGGCCGACATACAGTCGTCTAAATTCAACATAAAATCATGGCGTTGACTAACAAAACATTTTTGTTGCTCAGGGAGCAGTTATACAATTAACTTGTTTTACAATGATGCTATACGGAACATATTTGTTTTATTACTTAAAATAATGTCGGCAAAATACAATTAAATTCATCTATATATTCCGGTGCTGTCACATTTAAAACAATAAAATTATAGACGTGTGTTTTTAAAGTCGCTAGTAGGTTCATCAATATTTAAAACATAGGAAGACATTTTAAAAAATTAAAATTTTCATCGATTTTTCTAGGGCACATAATTAGAAAAAAATACATAATTAAACACAAATTTGACTTTTAATTATATTGATTTTATTTTTATTCTGGCAACATTGGACGACTTTCTTTCCTTCACCTTTTAGATACAAATGCCACAGAATAATAACGTATAAATGGGCCTCACTACTATGTAGTCGAACCGGGGTTTAATATAGCAATTGTTACACTTTACGTGTTATCCCGCTATTTCAAAACCTGATTATTTTTTATTCATTTTGCTTATGTTATTTATTTTTTATTAGCTACACTTAGACACAAATATGTTTAATATCTAAAATAAAATCTTCCAGTTAGAAATACTTGACATTTTAAGTTTTAGAGATAAAATCACAATTTTAAAATATATTTTAAACTCTGACCAAAACCAAAGTTTGAGGTTAGTGCTATAGTATGTTTATAAGGTTTCCTAAATAACATTTTTGTATTTGGGGAAACAGTTTTGTTTTTTAATCGCTTTATAAGAATTTTAATTCGTTTCTTTAACAGCAATTATAAAATTGTTATCTTAGAGCAGCGGTCGCGACTAAATTATTGCGAAGATCAAATTGTTTTATAAATCAGTCGTAAAAACAGCTATAAAACATGTCGATAATGTTTTAATAAACTAAAATGCATATTTTTATAGCTGTTTTGTAAATATTTTATAATTGTTTTAAATTATATTATAAATCAATTATAAAATATATTTAGCTCAAGCATAAATAGTTGTATAAGATTTGTTATGTAAACGTTCCTGAGCATATTAACGAATGTATTTATAAAAATGTTTAAAAATTTATAAATTAGTCGCCAAAACATCTATACAGGGTGTCCCAGAAATAAGTGCAAATATTTTAACTGGTAGTATAGTTCAACCCCAGAAACACGCCTATGACGTTTTTTTGCCAAAAAAAATTTTGAAAATTTAAAATTTTTCTTGACATTTTCCGGGAAATTTGAAAAAACTTTTTAGTGCCACTTGTTTATTCACCTGAGATTTGTCTACGGTGTATCTAAACCTTGCAGTGTTGCAACCTCCTATGTTATCCACATTCTACATAGTTCTACATTTATAAATTCATAGACAAATTTCTACTCAAAAATTAGGAATGTTAAATTTAATCTTTTATCAGTGCTCATTAATAATTATTATAGAAAAAAACACATTAATATTTTTAGTACTTACCCTTTCAATGAAAACTTAACAAAAACCACCGAAAATTAACTAAAAGGCTAAAACATTACGTTTATGACGTTTACGAAAATGATTCGTCATATTATTCACAACCAGGTCACAAAAAAGAAATTCCTAAAATGTTTATCGTAATTTAGAATTCAATATATCGAAAACAGCCCAACGAATAATCGATTAATTTCTGTTTTGTTTGTTTTATTTCAACCACTGATTTACAAAACACCTTGAAAAGCGCACATTATTTTGAATACCGTCTCTTATCGCCACTTTACGAACTACTTTCAATCTAAGAAAATACATGTTTCACTCAACAATTTTAAATACGTATTTTGTTTTTTCGCTATTTTTTCGATGTATTTCGACAGCCCAAACGTCTCGCATCGGCCAAGAGTGCCACGTGTGAACTGGTCCTTTGAGTCGCGCCGTCGTGGCGGGCTTGCGTCAGACGATAATGTTAAGCAACGTTGCCGTAGTTACAACAATTTCAAATTCAAGACACTCGAAGCAATCAAATTCTTATTAAATTTTAAAAACAAAACAGAAGAACATGAAAGGAAACAAACAAAACAAAAATGAATTGATTATTCGTCGGGCTGTTTTCGATATATTGAATTCTGAATTACGATAAACATTTTAGAATTTTTTTTTTGTGACCTTATCGATAATCAATTCATTTGTGTTTTGTTTGTTTCCTTTCATGTTTTTCTGTTTTATTTTTAAAATTTAATAAGAATTTGATTGCTTCGAGTGTCTTGAATTTGAAATTGTTGAAACTACGGCAATCTCGCATGACGCAAGCTCGACACGCCGGCGCGACAAAGGAGCAGTGAGCAGTTACCAACCAGTGATGCGCGACTGTCTTGGCCGACGGTTGGGTTGTCGACGGAATTGTCGAAATACATCGAAAAAATCGAAAAAACAAATTACGTATTTAAAATTGTTGAGTGAAACAATTTAATGTTGGGTAAGTTTTTTAATTTAACTTTTAAACATTTAACTTTTAATTTATTTTATGTAATAATATCACAATCTTAAAAATGTAATGCATCTCTGCAAACTCCTCAAGTGTTGTGATTTTATGACTTACTTTTAAACATATACTTTCTTGTCCATATGGCAACACAGTGCGTCGAATTAACTGAAATCCGGGCTTGATCCGGGTAATTGGATGTAGATGGCGACATCTGCCGGCGGTTCTCAAAATGTTGCGATTATTTTTTTAAATTTTCAAAGTTAAATAAATCGGTTATTTTCAGTTTATTTTAAAAATGGTAAAGAGAAAATATGTTTATTTTGACCAGATCTACCACCCCTTAAAATATCTGCACTCATTTCTGGGACACCCTGTATAACAAAATAATAAAACACATTTGTCTTTATGATAAATTTTTGTTCTTTGCGTTTATTATACAACAATTTAGTGTATGAGATCGCTTTAATAAATCGTATATAAAACGCTTCACTCTCAAATAATTTATTGTGCTACTTGGGTAAGGAATGACAATCGATGTGTGTGTACTTCTCTATTTTTTTAATAATACTACTTAAAATAATGAATGGAACTACGACTGGGGATACGGGGACCACGTAGTTGGGGATACGGACCGTGGTAGCAAAAAAATAAAGAGAAATGTTTTTCAATTTTTTTTTAGATATCATAAAAACTAGATTTTTTTACATGTAGGTGCACTATTTTTATGATTGTTTATCCATTTTTTAAGTATACTAGTTTTTCGGCAAATTTTTTTGCATAAAGAGTAGCAGTTTACCTTTGTTTGGCAAAATGCGATAAAATGGACAAAATGTATGCATCTAGAAAGTCTGTAAGCCGTCTCAGATACTGGCTTTTGCCAAAACTCTGAGAAAAAACTAAAAAAACTGAATAAACAATAGATCTATCAGATCGCAGAGCTCATTCGCTGATTAACTTCCCCCCTCCCATACAATTTACATTTACAAAAGTTTGTTTCAAGATTAGTTGCTCCACTTTTTCTGGTAAAGTGTTACAAACCTGTAAATGTATGTTATTATTAATTCTTGTTAACATTCACTTACTTCTGGCTTTTACTCAAACATATACACAGAATAAAACCTGGTAAAAAACCCCTATCTTATAGAGAGAAAAAAAATCGACCAGGTTTACAGCATCGAACACGGCCAACAATATCCACCGGCAGAATAAAACAAGCGGGGTAATCCGGTCCCATCGATAAACCAATTCCGGTAGATTTTAAATGCGCGACATATATCCCGGAACCCAATTTGCATATTAAGTGCGGCAGGAGGAGCACCGCCGCACATAGGTCATTTTATGTATTTTAGGAATTAATAAATAAAAAAATTGAATGTCGAAAAAAATATTTTTTTATATTTCATCTTGGAGGTAGGGCCCCATAGATATTATATCTGCGATATTATATTTTAATATTAACAGAAGTGGCCATGGCCAGAATGACAATGTCAAAGTTTGTTTGAATTATTTCCATAGTAAAATTACTGTCATTAGTTCATAAAGTTTCGAATTTTGTTGTTACGAATAGAAGGTGAGTTTAAAAAGTAGTGTTGTGTTATTGTGTACCATAAGGTAAGATTTATTATTAAAAAAAATAATATCCGTTTAAAAAGCTTGTGACTTGGCGAAAAGATACAATGTTTTAATAATAAGAAAAAAATAGTTTTTTTTCATAACTTTGTATTTAAAAATGTTTATAATTCAGGATTTATACAGATTTATTTCAAGAACATTTTTTTCGTATTCACAATCATTTTATCGATTAATCTATCCTAAATTTAACTGCCAAGATGTGCCAAGAGTAAATATATATATTGTTTTAGGTACCATGTCAATAGAAAAATCTCTCTTGTTTTCTGCTTGGTGTGAAGGCAATTCTTTGAAGAACAAAAATGCATCTGTTTTGCCATTTGTTCTGAACACGCTAAATTTAGGGCAACATGTTGGCGACGAACATTATAATGAAATAGTGAAAATTATTAAAAAATGTAATTATTATTATTATTACTCTTTGTCTAAATGTGTGGGAACACGGTCAAATAAGGAACCATTTATCAAAGAAGTTCTTAATTTACTTCGAGAGCGTACTTTACAGGCATCAGAGTTTGATGAAAATATTAGTCAGGATGATGATATCATCGATATTATGTCTCTAAAAGGGTACCTACATAGTGAGGCATCTCGATGCGATGTTCGCCGCGATGCATCCTACGCGCACTTACTCGTTTGCAGTGCTTAGAACGTGCGCGTAGGATGCATCGCGGCGAGCATCGCATCTAGATGCTTCACTATGTTTGTACCCTTAGTAGTGACGAGGATATCGATAGTGATTAAATAAAAATATTATTACATAAATTTCTCTAGTAAAATAGTGTTATTATCATTTTATTTATATTTGTTAAATGTTTTAGGTTGTTTTTTTCATTGTTCAAGCTAATTTTTACTTTCAATTAACTTTAAAATTAAAAATTAAATTTAGTAAACCTTCTAGATACTAATAAATTCACTTACAAAAAAGTAACGAACTACAGTTTTTGTTTGAGTTCGATATAATAAAATGAAAAAAAAATAATATATTTCGTAAGACACCCTGTACAAGCATAAAATGAAAGAAAATATCATTATCCCACGCATTTATTTATTTTCTTACCAAACAAATTTATTTTTGTTTTAAAAAATAATTTAAATTTTAAAGGCATTATTTATTACCGCCTAAATTGGCGAAAATGACCTATGTGCGCCGCGCCGCGCCGGCCGCCGCGACGCCCAAATAAACAACGGCGTCAGGTTGCAGGTCGCGTTAACAAGCTGCCCTTTTCTGTTTTTGGGGTGGAAATGGCAGATGGTGCAAATTGCTGTACTCTCTACTTGATCATATAACGGGTACAACAAAATCGTTGGTTAAAATTGTTTAGGAGTTTGTTATTGGTTAAATTTGAAACTCGTGACTACACAATAAGTGTAAAAAAATTAAATATCTCTATTTAAGATTCCGATCATTCCGAGATATTTGTAGCAGTTGCAATGTCTGATGACGTCCTGTTGCGGGTCGTAAGTCTCGTTGTTGTCCACCAATGCATATGTATTCCGTTTTTTTCAGTGGCGTAACTACCTATGTGCCGTGTGTGCGAAGCACACGGGCCCGGGCGCATATTCGGAATTCGCCGACACATTAGCCGCTCGGGATAGTTCGGGTGCTGCGTAAAGTACCGACGTATTAGACTAATACGTCGGCGATTTATGATGCGCTCAAAATATTGTTTCTTTCTTCACAAGTTTGTAAATCGGATTAATTTGATCTGCGTCTGTAATGGGTATTCGTATTTTTTTATGATCAATCAGTAATCGTCTGTAGTTGGTTTTCATTGTTTTCGAGAAATTAGCACATTTCGAGCAGATTGCTAATTCAAAAACATGGATTTTAAGACATTACCATCAGCTGCACCTGATAAATAAATAGCCTCCAATAATCTGAGATTGCAGATTACTAATAAAAACAAATTTTAGATATGTTGCTTTTTGCAGAGAAATTAAATAATAACAGTAATGATATTAATGCAGCATTAATACAAAATAAATAGTAATAGCACAGATAACATACTTTTGTTCATACTGCGCAAAAGTCTTATGCGCTTTCATGTGAATGCTAGATATATCATACGATCGAAAAAAAATTGCGTCAGAGCTGGCTTGGAAATAAAGATAGCTGTCATTTTGTATGTAAAATTATATAAGGAATGTCAGAAGGGAAAATCGATGGAAAACCCAGCATAGGGAGGAAAAAGAAGTCATGGCTACGTAACATAAGAGATTGGACCCACATCGACGGAACACATTTATCCATCTAGCACTGGACAGAGAGAGTCATATTATTATACCATATTGATCGCCAACCTCAACAGAGCAGACACCTAGGAGTGGGAGGAATGTTGAGGAGGCATTGATCGCCATTTTCAAATCAACTAGACTTTTTTTTAATTTTAGTTTATTTTTATTTTATTATTGAACGGATAACTGTCTTACAATTTATCGAACAATTTCTTCCTGACACATAATTAAAAAAATATGGGATTAGGAGGTAATAAATCCAAAAAATAAAAATATGTCTTAATTTTTTTCTATTCATATATTTTTTGATAATATATTTTTCTTAGACTTAAGTTGTTTAATTATTTCTATACACAGAGCAATCCACGCTCATTTCGCTACTAATAACTTATCTAACAGAAATTATTTTTTTAAGTTAACAGAAAAACAATACAACTTAAAAAAGAGATGGAAAATCATATTGCTTATTTTAAATGGAATACACCGTATAGTTTAATTTTAGTATTAAAGATAATTTCTGTTCAAGTATGTTTTGTATCATTTTCTAACAGTTCTCGATATATACCTATATTGTAATGCAATATGCAGACAACAGTATTTCGTTTTCGTAAATCACCGACGCATAAGGGTAGGGACTAGTCTAAAGGATGATTCACAGTACACCGGACCGTGCCCGAGACGGGCACGTTCCGTGAAGTAGACACCGAGCCACGTCCGATCCTTCTGTATATGCAACACCGAGTTGATAACGGGGTTCGTATTAGTTCCGAGTATATTAGAAAACACAGCCCCAATGCCAAAGTTCTCGCAACTGGAATTGGTACCAATTGCAGTTGATGAATAAAGAACAACACCTGCAGGAGAAACACCTGCTCAAAGGAAAAGATGAAGGACCTATCTTCTTCATTACATCCTTTTATTGTCCAGTTTTACGCCTGTCGTCAAATACTGCTGTAAGATTCACTAATACTTACTACAGACATGATAAAAAGTGTACTTTGTTTATATCATGACTGCAGATTGCAGTCGGGGCACCAGGAAAAGTACATTCTTGTTTTCCGCAACGTGGCGGGAACGGAGCGGATTCGAGAAAAAAATGTACTCCGACATTTCCGGGACGGGGCACGGACGAGTTCCGGCGAAGCTCGGATCGTGCTCGGCCTGGCATGAATGTATATGTGTAAAGAACACTTGACAATATTTGGCCGTGTCTTCACCGATGCACGGCTCGGACCCGTTACGGTGTAGCGTGAAGCATCCTTAATACGTCGGTACTTTATCAACCGTCCGTCGATGTACCCGACCTAATCCGAGCGGCTAATGTGTCGGCGAATTCCGAATATGCGGTCCTGGCCCTCGGGGCGGCCGGGTCGCATTTCCATATCTATCACATGCTATCGCGAATCAAGCAGAATCGGAATCCCGAACTAAGTTCTTATCTATCACATGTCTTCTTAACTACTTAACTAGCACACGCTATCGCGAAAATAACTTATTACTTTACACTTGTTCTTGTGCAATTTTGTAGCTGTGTTTTACTTTTTATTTTGCAAAATAAAAATAAATCGAAATATGTGATTTTTCATTAGAGCATTAAATTTGACAAAAAGGAAATTTGCTGTATTGTCACTGGATTTCTGTACCATCGAATAGAAATAGAACTAAGCTAGTTGTAGCATGAAGAAGAATATGAAAAATTATACTGGCCAAACTAGTTAACTCAAAATCACAAAAACTCTATAGTTACCTAATGGTTGTATTAAAGGGACGATAAGGCAGCTAAATACCCCGATGATATTGCCTATACGATTTCTTCTCAATTACTCTCCTTCAGGCAATGGTTCCGAAATAATTTATATGAAATCAGTTGCATTTTTGAACTCGCTGAATATATTTTAATTAAAAACCTTTCATCGTCTTCTAGTTTCAGCGAGATTTTAACAGCGTGTAATATTATTCTGAATGAGCTTAACTTGTCAGTGGCTAGAGCTGTTTATTATGCACTTTTTGAGTCGCACCTCAGGTATGACCTTCCATTCTGGGGTACGTGTTGTGCGACTCAATTTGACCGCATTTTCAAGCTCCAGAAGAGATCTGTTCGATATTCACTAGGACTAAACAGCAGAACTCATTGCCGGGACTTTTTTAAAGAATTAAGAATATTGACTCTTCCTTCCTTATTTATATTTGAATCCGTTTGCCTAATACGTAAGCATGTATCAGCTTCCCAAGAAAGGCCATCTCACACTTATCCACTCAGGAACGCGGAGCAAGATCTTTATCTACCTACCCCACGCTCAGAGTTAGTTAAAAGTTCAATATTATACAACTCGAAAAAAATGCACAATCACGTGCCATTTGAAATCAAATCCATAACATCATTTTTTTTCATTTCGCAAAGCATTGAACTCTTATTTACTAGACAAGGTTTTCTAGGCCGTAAGTGAATTATATTTGAATTGAAAATCGAATTTGATCTTGAAAACACTGGTCTAATGTTTGCTATTGCTATATTTACTAATGACATCGAAATTAATTTATTTAGAGGTCATTGATATTTTGCTATAAACTGGCTAAATATTTTTGAATATTATTTTAATTTTTTTGTTCTTTGACATTGTAAACATTTATAAATGTTTATTTTAACAATAAGACTGACAATATTATTTATATAATGTTTTGTATTATCTTTTGTTTGTTTGTGTACCTTGTTTTTTTTCTACTTTGTTTGTTAGTTTACCTTTGTCTACAAGTTGAAAAATTTTTTGACAATAAAGGTATTTATTTATTTATTTATTTATTTATTCTCACCATACCTGTTTCTGTGGCCTCGGCTGAAAGGTCTTTTTCCAAATTAAAGCTTGTCAAAAATTATTTAAGAAAAACTATGGGCAAAAAACGGTTATCAGCTTTGGCAATTAGTTCAATAGAAAATGAAGTTGGTTGTACAATAGACACTGGTAATATTGTGTCAACTTTCGCCCACGCTAAAGCAAGGAAAAAAGAATTTAATCATGTTCATGTTTCTATTTACATTGTTTATTTTAATTTAGTTAG